TATATATATATATTCACAACTTTAAATAGCAATTTTCGCGGAGACATTTATCATCTTTAACAATATTCATTAAAATATTACTATAAACTAAATTAATAAGTAGAGAAATATTAGCATAGATAGACAAATATTTTTTATATCAATATTTTTCTTTATAAGTATTTTTCAAAATTAAGTTAAAAAATAATATTAAAAAAATATTCCTATTATGTATAATTATTTTCTGAAATTGAAGTCTCATACCGAATAAAAAAATAACATATAAAAATATATATAATTATAAAATAAAATTTAAGATAAATTTTTTTTTGATATACATAATCTAAATTTGATAGTAACTAGTTTAGGATATTTTCTCTTGTTAAAAAATATTTAGGATATTTTAAATTTTAAAAGACTTGTCATAGGATATAAGTAGTGATACAATCTAGTTTATTAAAATATTACAAAATACTACTTTGATAGTATTTTAAAAATGTTACCATTAATATATAAAATATTGCTAAAAGTATTTAACAACACAATTTAGTTTACATTTGGTAAAATATCACAAAAATATATTAACAATATTTACTCATATTAATTTAACAACATTTTTCTAATATTATTAAAAACATATTTTGATGTAGTATACGGATTCATCTAGAGATATATTTATTTCTAATGATTAGTTAATATGTTTAATGAATTTGATATTTTATAGTTGAAAAAATAAAGTGATCATCAATTTAGTTAAATGAGATATTAACATAAAGAATTATTAGTAGATGATAGTATCAAAAAGTTTACTTTACCTACACAGAAAATTTAAACTTTTGCATGAAAGGAGTATCTTTGGTAAACAGAAACGACACGACAGATATGTAATTCATAAGAGGCTGAGATTCTTACCACGTTCATTTGAGATCTCAAATCAGTATATGTTACTATTTCTCATAAAATTCCATATACTTAAAAACGTTGCAAGTCAATTAAATTAAAATGACATTAATTATGTATCAAATTTCTAAAGACAAGGTCTATGGATACATTTTCTTTTGAAAAATAGAGGAAGCTTTATTTGAACAGTCAATTTGATTGATAATTCGAATGTGCGAAAGTCATACTGTAGAAAATAAGATTGGATCAGTTTGAATTATATGATCTAATAATGTAAGGAAGAAAATGAGGACCGAATATTAGCTTCCTGTTACACAAATATCTTTAAAGTTGAATAATAAAAAAAGGAGTCAATTTTTAAATGACGGCCTAATTGTGTGCAGTTAAGAAAACTTTAAATTTATTTATTTATTTATATATATATATATATATATATATATATTATGTTTAAATATATGAATTATATTTAAAATTTATATAAATATAGAGATGGTTGTCATATTTGGCCACAATCACTACAAGAAAATTCGTTATTACAGACGGCCAAAATCCGTGGGAAATGCCAAAAATTCGTGGGTAATAGTGCATTTCTCACGGATTACTGACGGATACTAATTTGTCGGTAAATTGCTCGTCTGAAATATTTACCGACGGATTTTTATCCGTGAGTAACTTTCCGACGGATTTTCCCACAGATTTATCTGTGGGTAATTTCTCACGGATTTACCCACGGATATATCCGTGGGAAATTTCCCATGGATTTATCCGTGGGAAATTACCCTGGACGAATTTTTCGTCAAAAATTATAATTTTTTTTAATTTTAATAAATTTATTAATGTAATAACCCTCATATTTGGCCTCTTAAGGGTTCTATTTCACGATATTTCATTATTTAGCGTGTTTTTATCCTTACTTGTGCAATTTCTGGGAAACTTCCCAGAAGGTCACCCATCCCTGTACTACTCCAGGTCAAACACGCTTAACTGTAAAGTTCTGATGAGTAAGCTATCGAAATGTATATCTATTTTATCTCTAATAATTATTAAAAAAAACTGCCATAAGAATTAAAACAATAAAAACTTATCATTTTCTCTATTTTTTCATGAAGGCATAGAGTATTTTTTTTCCCACTAGTATTATTAAAGTTAAATTATGTTTTTAGTCTCTTTATGTATTTTTAGGATTTAATTTAGTCTCATTATTTTTAAAATGTTCAATTTGGTCCATCAATTTTAAAAAAAATATTCAATATTGTTATTTCGTCTAAATTAACATTAAATATGCTAATGAAATTAAGTAAAAGGATAACATTAAATATTTTTTAAAAAATTAGAGAATTAAATTGAATATTTTAAAAACAGTGAGACCAAATTAAATCTTAAAAATAAATAAAAGACTAAAAATATAATGTAGCTTATTATTAAAGGCGATATATCTTTCTTTGTGTTTCAAATCATTCTCTCCCATACCTTATTTTATTTAGTTTTTATTTGTTTTTCTCCCACTTCTTTGTAAATTTATTTATTAAATTATACACCCTTTAAATAATTATTCAAAATCAATCATTCCTTTTAAATTTTAACTAGTACTCATACGTATTTAACATTAGTTTTTTTATTTTATTTTATTAAATAAAATACCTAGAAGTTAAATAATTTTTTAAGCTAGTATATATAAATAAAAAATCTTCATCATATGTTAAAAAAAAATTACTCTTTTATGAAGGGTCACAATAATGTTCATCTATGACTCTTCAATAAGAGTGGTGTTTATTTAAGTCATAAATTTTTGTAAAAGTTTTCATAATTTCACCAATCATAAATTTAATGACTTAACGATGATCAAATTGATATTAATAAAATTAATAATATTATTATCAATATAAAAATAATATTATAGTTTTGTAATATTAAAAATTAAAATAAAATATTATTTATAAATTTTTAATATTTAATATAATGTAATATTTAAGTTATAAACTATATATAATATAGTATTTAAATTTACATTTTAATAAAATATAACAATATATATTTATAATAACAAGTTTTCATTTAGAATAAAGGATATTAAATTAATATAATATAAATTATAAAAATAAAAAAATATTAAATTAGTCTACTAACTTTCTACTAATTCGCAGTTAAACTATATTTTTGAGACTAACAAAATTGTTTAAGGATTGATTCCTAATCAAATTAATTTAATTAATCAATTTGATCTGATTTCAAAATCATAAGTTTGTTTTAGAGACTTTTGATGAAAGCATTGTTGATTTTTTTTAAACTTTTTTTTATCTAATTTAACTTTTATTCATCAATTCCTACATATTAAACGTGAATAACGCAATTATAGTATTTTTATATATTATTTTTTGACATGAGCATTTTTATATATTTTTAAAATTTTTTTAACTAATTCAATATTTTTATTTATCATATTTATTTATGAACTAAAATTTAATATTTATTTATATTTAAATATAATTTATATATTCAATTATATGATCTAATTATTATAAAATTTAATTATATATAATAAATATTTAATACACATATTAAAATACTAATATCTTTAAATATATAAATAATGTTTTAAACTTACAATGAACTATTCAAAATTGTGATATAAAATTAATTTTAATTATTATTTTAAAATATTAAAATTAATCTTAGAGGTAATCATAAAAGAAAGTAAATTAAAAAAGATAAATAATTGTCAATGTGGATCGTGGCCATAGATCGATGTAGTATGAGTTGTTTTTCATCTAGAAAACGTATTGAGTTTTTTTTTTGGTAAAGTAGGAAAACTAAACAAAGCACACAGCTCAAGACATAGAGTCTCTCCCTAACGGAAACAAAACAAAATCTGGAGGACTCCTCCAAAATACATTGGAACCTAGGTTCCTTACACCCCAACTAGCAAGCGTATGAGCTACTGAGTTTATTTCTCTAGGGATATGACTTACGTAAACTACCCAATCCCTGGCTAGCCATCGCTGAACACGCCGAATAACATCATAGTGCTTGTGCAGATAATCCCTATCCGTTGGCCGATCTTGAAACAACTTAACAGCTCCCAGGCAGTCACATTCGCAGTTCACCTTCCGAAACCCACCTTTCCAACAAATCGAGAGACCCTCCTCCAGAGCCAACAACTCAGCACGTAACGCATCACCAGTTAAGGCGCTTCGCGAAAAGCCCCCCGCCACATACCTGCCCAATCACGAATAGCTCCACCCATCCCCATAGCAGAAGTCTCACTCAACCAACTCCCGTCTGTGTTTAACTTGACCCATGGGTGCTCCGGATCATTCTCCTAACACTCAAATAACTAAATCTAATAATTAGTGTAATTTAGATCGTGACATTATCATTTCACATTATCGAACATAATAAAAAGTCTCATTAGCCTTTTTTTTCTTCAAAATTCTCAACTTTATTTTATATTTTATTTTATTTTATTGACTTGAAAAAAATTGAGTATTCACGCATCACATTTATAATTTATCTTATTATTTTTTATTAGTTTATGAAATTTATATCTTTTGAAATTGGATCACAAATCAAAATGAAAAAAAACTGGAATAAATTTTAAATGAGGCAATTTTTTTAGTTTTTATTTTTAGATTTTAAAAAAAGAATCATAGTTTTTACACATACCAATAGTACCTATCGAATTGAAAGTATAAATACTAACTATTTAAGTATTCATACCATAATATATTCCTTTAGCACTCTTTATAATTTTTTTTGGTACCAGTAAATATAGGATTCTGGATCCAAGTAAGTATACTCTAAAAGAGGTGCAATCATTTTGTCATAGAATTTTCATGCTTAACAAAACATATTTGTAACTTAATTTGCTCCTCTAAAAATGTGATTGCAATGACACATTTCTTAATGATTATTTACTAAGTTCACAACTCTATCAACCAAAGAATAAGATGGATGACGTCTATAACATCCACCATTAAAAAAATTTGACAACCACAAAAATGTTGCACTCCACTGGTATCTTTCCAACAATACCTAGCTACATGTCACTGGTTTAATAGAAAAGGCACAAACAAAACAACCAAGGTCCGTTGCTAAAAAAATCCCAAATTTTATTTGGGATGGTTGTTGAACCCAACACCTATAAGTTTTTAAGAGATAAATATGTTTCTATTATTTATAAAATGAACAAATTTTAATTTTAATTCCTATTAAATTTCTTTTTCTTTTTAACATTTTAATATTTGTAAACATTAATTTTTGATCATTGTAAAATGAACAAATTTTGATTTTGATCATTATAAAATAAATAATTATCACTAACAATTATGAACAATATTTTAAAATAAATAAATAAGTAGTTAAAAATGACTCACAATAGTAGAGATTAAAAATAATATAACTAAATTTTAGATGATAAAAAATAAAGAATTATTTTTATAGGGATCAAAATCAAAATCCATCCATTTTATAATGACTACAAACATTTCTTTTTATAAAACTAAAAACATATTTAAGTCTAAATATACTACTACATCATGTTTTTTGCTTTAACTTTTAATATATGAGAAAAATAGATTTTATACTATATCAATAATATAAACTATTTATTTAATTATATACCGGTTCATTTAAGAATCACTTAGTGTGTTTTTGGATAAAAGTTAAATTCAACTCAATCCACTTTCACTTTAAAATAATAGCCTTGTTACTTTTACATTTCAAGCTTTGAGAAGTGAAAAGGCACATCCAATGCTTTTAAACAAGTAAATATAACATCCTGATTTTTTTCATAATAAAAAAAATTACCTTTGATAGAAAAATTATATTATAGGTTTGATTAATTAATTAATTAACTTTATAATATAAATAATATTCTTATTAATTAAATAAAACAATAAGGGGAGTGATAAATTACAAAGTATTATATTGGACTTTAAACTCAACCTGAAGGCTTATTATAAAAATGAAACAAAATAAAGGAGATTAGGTTATTACGCATCTTCTAAAAAACCTATAACACTCGTAATAGGAAATCTAGAGGAGATCACCGAAGGAAGCATGAATTAGCGACCAGAGCTATAACGAGTGCATTTTTTCTACAAGATCCTCACTCTTAGTAGGGAGAAGTAATATTATCAAATCTTTTGGGCATATATATATAAGGGATAAGGGTAGAATGACGAATCTTAAGCCCTGTAGGCTATATGTTCAAGTCGTATTGTTGTGTATGTATGCAATTTTGAATCTATAAGTTGCATGTACGATTGATTGTGCATTGAGTGTTGTGCTCACAAATCTATGAGTGCTTGTGAATTATGTGAAAACCTTGGTTTATTGAGAAAAATAGATTTTGTATGTTTCTTATGTGCATGAAACACTATGAATGAGTTGTGTGTTTGATTGATTATGCATTGGGTGTTGTGATCATGAATCTATGAGTGCTTGTGAATTATGTGAAAACCTAGAGCGATATAGATTATGTACGTTTCTTATAAGCATGAGATGTTATGAGTGATTTGTATGTAAGATTGATTGTGTATTGGGATTTTATTGAATTGATGTGCTGAAGTTATTGGGATTTGATAATGGATGTTGTGATGAATTTGATGAAGTTGAATTATTGAGACGTGAGGATGTATATTATGATGAATACTATGATGAGATAAGATGAATAAGTCTAGTGTTGTGGACTACTACTTTAGGAGATGAGTTATGCATATTGTATTTGTTGTGATATGTGCATGGAGTCCATACATATATGTTTTGTGTATGGGATAATGTGAGCCTATTTAGGTAGGATATCATAGGTCATCTACCTATGTTCAGAGTGTTATGGTGGGAAAACCTCTAATAAACATCTTTTAGTTGAGATGGTTCGGGGGATCATTATTGATGGGTAGTCCCTACACTATTTGATGTGATAGTTTCATTCCATTTCTCTTAGATTATTTTGTAATGATGATGATAATGCGGAGATTGATACCACATGCATGTAGAGTTAGAACATGCATTATACGAGCATTAAATTATGATTGAGTTATATTGTGTGATGTAATAATTATGAAGGATGAATGAATGTATAGCGATAATTATTATTGATGTATGAAAGGATGGTTATATGTGTGAGACATTATTGATGTGATAACTGTGTGTGTTTACTTTATGTCTTATATATGTTGTGTATGAATGAAATATATTCTCATTTTCTATGTTTGTATGTTTGTATTTATGCTAAAAGCTACTTGTAAGATTAGTCGTAGTAGTTATTTGCATTTGTGAAACCTTTATTTTATTATATTTCTTTGTTGAGAGTCTTATTCAAATAGGTGGTTGTACTTGACTTTAATTTATACATTTTTTTTATTTTTTTTTCGTTAATAAAGTTAGAGGTAAAATTTTTTTGAACCATTTTACAAAGTGTTGAAGAAAATAGATTTATTCTTATTTTTATAAGTTTCTTATTATTAAATTATTCTGGTAAAAAGATGTTGTAGTAACCAGACACACCCTTATTGACATAGTATCTTGACCAAATTAGTCACTTGTCTAATTCTAATAACATCATTTGAAACAAGTCCAAACTCGTCGCATAATTCATTGAAAACTCGAGTTATAGCATGCGAGCAAACTTAAATCTCCTACATAATGTTGTTCGTATTAACTTAGTTACCTTGAAAAATGAACAAAGGTTTTTCATGCACCAAATACAATCCACTGCTACAACAAAATTAATATGCCAATTCCTTTGCCAACAACTTTGGAGGTCTTACGTACCCCTAACATAAAGCAACCCAAACTGCACTCATCACTTGACAATTTCTCATCGCGTGCAATAATGTTTCATTGTCATGCATGCACAATGTACACGTTGAAGTGGAAACCATTCTACCACGACAACCACTTCTAAAATGATTCACAAAAGGCCTTAATTATGACAATTACAAAAAATAGAAAGTTACATGTCATAAAATCAAAAATAACTTGTAATTGCATGAAAAGAAATACGTATTAAAGTTATTTAATTATTTTTTTTTAAAAATAATCTCAATTTTAAAATATATAAATAGATGTGTTTTTAACTTCAGAGTTATTTATGTGTAGACAAGATGAACAAGACAAAATATGTTTTTTTCTTCGACCAAATAAGGTAAAGGAGTGCCACTTGTACTTTGTAGTAACCAATGTTTTTCATCCATGGTTTCATAAAAAATTACAGTTTAATGCTTTAATTGAACACTTTTCAATGGTTCAATGTATATACATAGTCACACTATCTTGGGAAAGGATAGGTGATAGATTCACTATCACAGGAAAATGCTTCAGATGAACTATAAAATTCGTTGTAGACTTGTTTTGGGGCCACAAATATTTCAGTTTCATTAGGCGATTCCAATTTCAAGCATTGTTTTAACTCTGCTAGCACAACATTCATTGTAGGTCTTTGATTGGAGGTTGATGCAGAACATGCCATTGCTATTCCTAAAGCTTTCCACCCAGAACTAGTATCAAATTTTCCTTGGAGCCTTGGATCTAAAATCCTACTTAAATCTCCTCCTTCAAGTTCAGATCTTATCCACTCAAGTATGTGCATTAATGGGTTGCCTAAACTTTTCAATATTGCAGGACGACCTGTGATTAATTCCAGTAGAACAATTCCAAAGCTATAGATGTCACTTTTCTCATTTAGGGTCCCCAATTTGTAGTACCTGAATTGAAGCGTAATTTATATAATATCATATCAATTGACAAAGACAAAGCAATCCAAACAAAATTGCAATACCTTAAGCTTTATTAGATCAATTTTTTATTTTCTTGTGCAATTAATTTTGACTTGAACATGACACTAATTGTTTTTAGCATTTAAATTAAGATGTGTCAATGGATAAGGACTTACTCTGGGTCAAGGTACCCTGTTGTGCCCATCACTGCAGATTTTTCATTTGAAACATCATTATAAATCATTGAAGAATCTTGATTTTGGTTTTCTTTCCTAAACTCCCTAGAGAGGCCAAAATCTGCTATCTTAGCTTCTAAGTCTTGACTTAAAAGAATGTTGGCTGACTTTACATCCCTGTGTATTATAGGTGGCTTGCATCCATGGTGTAGATAATCCAACCCTTCAAGTTGAAATTCAAACACATCATTCATCAAAATTCAAACATTACCACAAATTGCAAAAGAATGTAGTTTTGCAAAATCAATCATGAATTTACGAGGGTGACAAGTTTTTAGTTATTGTAACTTAATCATATATGCAAAATGTAAAACATGCACTAGATTGGTTTAAACAATCCATAAAATAATTTAGTAGTGTGAACTCAATTGGAGAGATTTTATCCAAAATAAAAGTAAGGACAATGAGCAAAACATTTATTCTTTTTGATTAATACTAAAGTCTGATGATCTAGAAACGTGATAACATTTGGTATCAACGTGAAGATAAGTGAACGTCTAAATAATAGCATTTGAAAGTAGGTGATGATATAGAAAAACATTATAAGCCTACTCAAAAATTAAGTTATACTCACCCTCTGCAGCATCGATTGCTATTTGTATTCTCCTTTCCCAACTCAAGGAATGTGAATTTCCATCTGCAACCAAGAGATATCCCATTAAAATACCCTTTTTCTCTTTAAATATCTTGTGATGCCATAAGTATCCCGATAAACAAATAGAGTTTAATTATCATGCATTATCGTGAATTAGGCTTACATTGTTAACTAATAAAAAATATTCTTACAATGACTTTTAAAGTAATTATTATAAAAATCATCAAACTTAATTTAGAGAAGTATATGAGTACCTGAGAGTGAGAGAAAATCTTTGAGGCTGCCGTTGGCCATGTACTCATATATGAGTGCCATCTTGTTATCATCATCACAGTAACCAATGAAGGATACCAAATTTTTGTGATGAACTGTCATCAAAAGCTCAGCCTGAAAGCCATGTACTCATGTATGAGTGCCATTTTTTTATCATATCATCATTGCAATAATGAATGAAGGATTCTACATTTTTGTCAAGAACTGTTATCAAAATCCCTACATTATTATCCAATAGTAGAATGTGGTACTAATTACCTCAGTCTGAAATTCCTTTGGCCCCTGAGTTGATGATGGAGAAAGCATCTTGACTGCAACTTGTTTGCCATCTTTCACCTGACCACAATACACGGTTCCAAATCCTCCCTTACCAATTGCCATTTCAAAGTTGTTGGTAATGTTCAACACCTCTGAATAAGTGTATTGCCAATTCTTTGATGTTACAGTTTTTCCTCCTTTGTTGAGCATACTTATCTCTTCATCTTAGTCCAAAAGGAAAATTAAATCAAAGTATGGTTAGTATTTTGGTTCCCATTTATTTTGTGTTTGTTCTTCGGGTTTTGAGAATCACAACAAGAAGTACCTGATCTTTCATTTCTTCTAAGTTTCTGAACGAGAATGAAAACAATCAATAGAACTAAAATCGATAATACTGATGCCACTATGGGAATAACAATTTTCTTAGTTTTATTGTTCCCTTTGGTGTCACCATGATTTTGATCATCCACCCTGAAAATGATGAAAACATGACAGTTAGGTCATAATGATGTTTCACTTCTATAAATCTTATTAGATGCTTCATTGTTCATACTTCCACCTTGTTTTTCTTTACCATAATTCATGTTGCTTTCAAGACAAATGAAACTTGCTAGGCTTGAAATAAGCATCTCTATGTCTATTATAGCAAGGCATACCTCAATGTGAGTGATCCGGTCCTTGATCTTTCTAAAAGTGTGGCAGAAACAGAACCTGAAAATAGATTGCTCCTTAAATCCCTACAAAAAATTGATTTTTCTTTCATCAGCCATTACTAATTTATCAATGCATATATTAGGACATACCACAATCATCAAAACACTTACAAATATTTAAGGTATTTCAATTCCTCCAAAAACTGAGGCATTGCTCCAGTTAAGCTATTGTTATGCAAGTCCCTGAATAAAAATAAAATGCAAGTTCTATAGTATTCAATATATGAAGAAAACAATTTTCTTTTAACATTGTGAAATTTCGTAAAGGATGAAAAGGATAACAGTTATATTATTCATATAACAATTTCTTTTAGCACTTATACAATGCTATTTTTTTTTCTCTATCTCTCTATATCACATCTATCATTTTATTACCTTTTTTTTTGGGGTTATTATTAGCGTTATACGCTTACATTTTCTTGCAAGTCACTTCTTCGTTTTTATTCCTGTTCCTCAATTCATTTTCTACCACATCATTTGTCACATATATCATTTTCTCTTTTTCCCCTTCTGTATCTCTCTTATTCATGTATCCAATTTTTGAAGTGTATTCCAACATTTCTCTATTTTTTTCTTTTCTTCCCATGTCTCTTTATCATATAGATTTTTGAAATAAATACAATTTCTCAAAGCAAAAGAATTCAAAAATTTTAATCATGTGTACTTACAAAGATTCCAATGAGGAAAGATTGGAAATGGCAGAAGTTATTGTTCCACTTAAACTGCTTGAGCTCATATTCCTGTAAAAAGAAAATGCTTTCTTCTAAACTTGAATATCACGATATAAAGTTGGAGTGAAAAGTGATACCTTGTTATTCAAAAAGGTCTTTCACAATGGGAGGAGGAAAAGCATACGAAGAGGCTACTCACAGAGATATAATTCGGGGAGGAAGCGAAGTGGTATAGTTGCATTCTAAGCCTTCCCAAGAATAGTTCTTTGGCTCACATGGATCACCCATCCAATTTCTTTGAATCCTATAGTTTTCCCTTATTGCCATCATAGCATCAACTGTGTTTACATATAATTGAATCCATTTAATTAAAGGCATAGTCATTCAAAATGTAGAACAATTGCAAGTAATATGATTGTTTCATTTGATTGGTATGGTTGTACCAGATTTTGTTCTTATTCAAGTGTATCAGGAGAGGGGAATAGAGCATTGGTTTTGCACATGAAATTTTAGCAAGGAAAATGTATCATACCATCTTGTTCAAATGTTGGAAGTGCATCTAATTGTCTTACTACATAAATCTCAACTGCATTAAGAATGGGTGGAAGGGTTGAATCCTTTGTTTTATGTATAGAAATACGATGTTCATTTGCCACCAAGGATTTTGAATTAGATAGGGTGGTTGCAAACAAGTAATGTGGTACTATGGATTCAAACAATGGAGATCCATTCCAGGATATATTAAATTTCCTCAGTTGAGTTTTATTAAGCTGCTCCACTTCGGCAAAGTACAAGTAGACATAAAATTTCCAACTTGGATCATCTGGGGTCCAAGAAAATTCTAAAGGATCATTGTCACTCTTTGGTGTTGTAGCAGCAGTTTTGATGACTTCAAATGGTGCTTTATAGCCATCACCATTGACATTTATTACTGTGGAAGTGCTTACAGAATCCAAAGATGAGGAATTATAGGGTGACCAAATTCTATCATAAATATCATCCTCATATCTACCACTTCCATTGAGTGATCCAAAGTCCCATCTTTTGAAAAGTGTTAGTGACCCAAATTCCCCAAACTCAGTGTTATAAATAGAAGCATTAAGTGGTCTAAGTTCCAATCCCGAGATAAAAGGAGTTCCTTCTCCCTTGTTCACTAGACAAACATTTGTCACCCCTGATTGTGCCACACTGATTGTTTCCATTGTAACTTCATCTGAGGCATTTCTAAATTTGATCGTTGACCAGAAATTGACATCAACATAGAGATCAAACTCAGGTGGCTTGTTTTCTCCATCATAGTTTCCATATAAAAAGGAAGCTCTTATCAAATGTAAACTGCCTTTTCTTCCAGCTATTAACTTGTAACAGTTCCTTTCTCCCTCAGGAAAACTTCTGAGATCTGAGAGTGGTTGTGGCAGCATGGGATTATTAGGGTATGCATAGTTAGAGGAAATGTTCTTATTAACCCCAGTTTGTATGTAGGCTCCATCAGTCCCGTACTTTATTTTAGTTGTATCATCTGTGTACTCAAAGTTTTGAGGACCACCGCAATCAATGCTTATGAAGCCTAAATAGAAAGACAATTCAAGATGATTAAGAAATACAAAAATTGACTTGTATACAATTCAAAATGGGTTAAAATTTGCAAAACTCTTAAAAGAGAGTAAAATTTGGCATAACTAAGCTCTCTCTACCAAATAATATACATCATTTTGATCATATTACGATAAAATCAACAACAATTATTAGGATAATCTCTAATACTTTCTTAAAAATGCAAAATTAAGTCTAATTTAACTTTATAAATTTGATTTATAACTTATATAATTCTATTTTGGTCACATCACTAATACGCTGTAAATATCTCCAACAAAGCCTGCAAAAGCTTATTTGTGGTTTGTTTATGTGTTGAGATTCCATTAAATTAATCCCGAATTGAAAGGCCAGTAAAGATAAGATATGGGTGGTTTGTTCACACATTCCGTGATTGATGAAAAAGAAGAACAAAGACTATTAAGTACCCCTTTAAGGCATATGATAAGGCTACCTTGGAGAAAATATTCCATGACATCAAATAATATTGTTGAAGAAAAAGTAATATCAAAACTCATTGTTACACTGCTTGTGGCAGATGCTAACTAACCTGTTTGTTGTTGTGCATAAACTAAAGCTACAAGGGCAACACAATGTGTCAGCAACAGTATACACCCAATCGAACTTGTCATCGCTGGATCCTATGAAGATTCAATCAAATTGGCTATGCATGTTGGAGACACTTTCATGGGAGGTTTTTTTTTACCTTTTATTTCTGTACAAAGGGTATGTACCGAAGAAACATGGTCCAAAAACAAAATAGTAGATCAATTTTCATCTTGTCAACTTGAACACGGGTTTGATGGTTTTGACAAATCAGACACTGAAAACTTCTGAGTGGATTCCATCAAATAGAAAAGGAGCACCATTTGAATAGTTTGCAAAGACTTCAAAACGTGATTAAACAAAAAAAAATATGGATAATCGTACTGCAACGTTTTCTTTGCAATAATTTTTACGGTCAAAAGAGAAATAAAGAATAATTTATAGTACAATATGTACTATATGAAATTTAATAATACTCGACAAAAATTGGTTTATCAATAAAATTAATGATTAAATTGGGGAGCTAACATGAAAATAAAAAATGGAAATAAACAGGATATGTTCAATATATGCATGCCACCTAATTTTGACCTGGATCTTAGAACTAAAGATATGAAAACAGGTAAATTGGTCCGGTCCGACCTACTGGGCCAAAAATGAGAAACGGATCGGGTGTCATTCAATTTTTATACGGGTTATAATTTTTTTTGAACCAAAATAGATTAAGATTTTAATTTTTTATTATATATAATTCATATGTATTTTTTATTTATTTAAAAAGAATAGATAAAATAGGTATGGTGTTTTTCAGGTCTGATTTTTATTAATTTGGCATAACCCGTTTTGAAGCCTTTAAATAAAGAGCGTTTGACCAATTTTAATACCTCTACTTAAAAGAACATTATTAAATTATTAACGTGAAAATGAATAGAAAGTTAATTAGGTGAAGTAATTGGATTAGTAGTACTTACTATCAACACAAAATAATGAACGGGTCCAAGTTGAAGCCAATTTAATTTTCTCATCTTTCCATTTGAACCTAGGATCTAAGATTAGGTAAAGATTAGGTAAATTTTTTTACTACATGATGTGTATTCGTTTTTCTTTTATGTCTATTTGTTGCACAAGACAAAACCATGAACCTACGTACTACGTAGTAACATGTGCATGGCCCCCTTGACGTTGACTACTTGTCATTTCAATATGGATAGTGTGACTCGATTCATTGAACAAAGAAATTATTTTGCCTAAACTAAATTTGTTTGCTTTTGATAAAACTGTAATAATATCATGTGATGTAATATAAGTGACTAATAAAATTGAGTCAAAATAAAGTGGCTAATAAAATGATAAATGATAATAAATTAAGGGACACTGGCAACTGGGGGAGCTCCTCCGTGGTTTCCTGGACGAGTTTTTTTTTTATTTTTCCATCATTTTCTCTTTTGTGTAATTAGGTCTACTTTCATCTAATTATTCTTGTGAAATGTTTGGATCATCTAATTATTCTTGTAAAATGTTTGGATGAAAAATTTAAATTAAGTAATTTATTTTTATTATTTTTTATAAATATATTTTTTTTTTTTGCGGATTAAAATTAGTAGAAAAATTCATAAGAAGAATACAATGAGCATCATGAAGGTGACATGTCTAAGGCACTTGTTGCCTTCACTTCACATTCTGCTTCTATTCCTACACCAAAACTGAAGAATGTGAGTAGGCTAAGAACAGAACACCAAGTGTAAGTACTAAGTATTGTGTCATTGCTTGTAATAGCATAAATCTTGCCAGAAAAACAAATCTAACTAAAAACTTAAAATAGTAAAACAGTAACAAGCGTTGGGGTTAATACTGAAACTTGAAACACAGCTATTTCAATTGAAAAATATCAACGTAATGCATATTTGTTTTAAATCATATCTTTGTATGGCACAACCAAGTTGTACCCTAAACGATCAACAAAGTTAAAAAATAAAAAATAAAAAAAATTGGAGGATCCTCCTAGCCTCCCAGGATATGATGTATCTACTATCTAGGCATAATGTGACATTGATATTTTTTATTATTTTGCCAATTTTGTATCTACTTGTGCTTATTATTCTGAACCCCTCATCGAGTAATACTGAAAAAGCCAGCCACAAATCCTAAAACCCCAAACGAAGCAACGTTAATGCTACACAACATGATTACACAGCTCAAACATCACCATTTTGTCCATAGCTAAATTACCGCATCGAAACCCAAAACTGCCAACTGAGTTCGCCTGCACTTGGCAACCCAAATTAAGCCATCAACTCACACAAAACCCTAGCACCAGTTCTCAAATCGATAAACAACAAAACTAAACAAATCACTTACCACAAAAGAAGCTTTAGCAACGCCTGTAAGACCTGCACCCAGAAATGAATGCTCACAAGTTGGAAACAATAGTCTATATTCAGACAAAAAAATGGAATACGAGTCTCCACGCATAACAGAAATTCACCTTGTTTACGAGCGTCGTAGGGACCAGCGCACAAGCCCCATATTGCACCGGCCTGAACAACAAGTTAATTTAATTTACAGTTTCTTTCATTAGGTATTTTATTTTGAGATTGGAGAAGAATCGAGCCAGCCAAAAACTTAAAATGTAAAAAAAAAACAATGGTGTTTATTACAAAATAAGTTCAGAGAGAGAGGGAAATGCCTGACCTCAGAAATAGATGTCACGTTGATGAATAAACTCTGATAGGACCACCGCATTTCGGGAAAGCTCTTCCGGGAATGTCTCCAAACCCTACACTATCAGCACCCATTTAACAAGATGAGAGACGCAAAAAGAAGCAAAAGACAAAACAAAGATATGAAGCTAAAATGGCTTCACTACGTTGTCGTTCTTCGAAGAGGGTTTCAATGCTTCCTTGGACAGTCGTTCATTGAAGATCAGCGAGCCTGGACTGTAGAGACCTCTTTAGGGCTGAGAGTGTTGAGAGGGTTTGCGTCTGAGAGTGTGCGAGAGGGTGCGTTCGACACTGTAGAGAGTGTTGAGATGAGTGTGCGTCTGAGACTCTGTTGTGAGACTGAGATGAATGCTTCTATTGCGCGTTCGCGGGAAGGGAAGAATTTGATAACCCTTCTACATCCGTCTGCAAGAAACCTGATGTAGACGACACTGTAGAGAGTGTTGAGATGAGTGTGCGTCTGAGACTCTGTTGTGAGACTGAGATGAATGCTTCTATTGCGCGTTCGCGGGAAGGGAAGAATTTGATAACCCTTCTACATCCGTCTGCAAGAAACCTGATGTAGAATACTTCACTAATTTTATTTCTACATGGATCACTCTTATAACCGACGTAGAATTGTTCATTTCTACATTATAAATATTTTTATATATTTTACTAATTTACAAAATTGTCATCGCACATTTTTTTTACATCGTTTTCTAGAAAATCGATGTAAATATAGCGACATTGAATAATATTTTTCTAATAGTGCAAGTGTTTTTGGCACCCAAATGAAAATGAAATTGTAGATAAGGACTTAATTACTTTGGGTCAAGGTACCTTGCTATGCCCACTACCCTAGATTTTTCATTTGTAACATCATTATGAATCACTAAAGATTCTTGATTTTGGTTATTTTTCCTAAACTGTCCAGAGAGCCTTGACTTAAAACTTAAAAGAACGTTGGCTGACTTTACATCCATGGGTATTATAGATGGCTGGCATCCATGATGTACGTAATCTAACCCTACAAGTTCAAATACATATTCATCAAATATCACTACAAATTGCAAAAGTATATAGTTGCACAAAACCACTTGCAAGGGCATTAGGTTTTTAGTCATGTTAACATAGTCATAGATGAAAAATGTAAAACATGGACTAGACTGGTTTGAACAATAAAATAGACAATTGAGTAGGGTGATCAAAATTGGAGAGATTTTATCCAAAAATAAAAGGAAGAGAAATGATCAAAACAATTATTCATTTTAATTAATCCTAAAATTTGATGATTTGGAGACAAAATAGCATTTTGGTATCAATGTGGATATATATGTAAATCTCTATAGTTACTATAACTTTAAAGCAAAAGTTCTATAAATAAGAAAGGCACTATTGCCTCAAAAACGAAGTTTACTAGCTCTCTATAACATCGATTGCTATCTGAAGTCTCCTTTCCCAACTCAAGCAATGTGAATTTCTATCTATAACCATGAGATATCCCATTGTGAAATATTTTGTGATTCTACAAGTATTGCAATAAATACAAAAAGGCGCAAGATGGAACGATGTATGAGTGCCTGAGAGTGATAGAAAATCCATTAGCCTACCATTGGCTATATACTCATCATATATGAGTACCATCTTGCTATCATCGTCATCACAATAAATAATGAGGGAAAATTCAACATAATAACAACAATTTAATAAAAGAGTAATAACGCTACAAAAATTAAATCTTTCTATTTACAAAAATCAGCAAGGAGCACCAATAAAATAGAGCAAAAATAGATAATTCAAATGTATAAGAGATACAATGATTTTTAACGTATAAAATCCTTTAATGTAAGGGTAAAGACTCCACTATGATCAACAAAGGACACAAGAGAGTTTTCAATGAATACACCAACATTGCTCACAATCAGCTAAAGTATAAATCAAACACAATTGTTTACAAATAAGAAATAAGAAGATGAAAAATTCCAAAATAGAGCTTTTACTTTGAAACATTTTTCTCCCACTACAAACCTCTTTTCAACGATCCAACAGTTGAATATGAAACACCACGTTGTATGCACCTACTGTTTAAAAATCAGTCGATCCAATGGTAAATTGAACAATATAACTTTCCTTTTCACTTCTCTTTTATATTTTACTGTTATTTTCTGTCAAAATGAGTCACCCTCTTTATCATAACCTAACCCTTTTTCACTTGGTTAAGTGAAATATAATGGATTTACACAATTTGGGCTTATACTTTACATAGAAAGGGAGCCCAAAAACTAACAAATATCTCCCTCATAACTATGTGGAGATAACCACCAAACCAACAATCCAATTAAAATTAACACCTTTTCTTTGACTAAAATCTTCCATCATTAATATGACTTTATACCTTAGAGGCATAGAGTTACTTTCATCTTTTTCTCTACAAATCCATTTGTTATTTAAGACTCTCTTACCCTTAAGTAACTTCACCAAATCAAAAGTGTGATTATCATGCAAGGATTTATCCAACCATTTTTGCTTGTCTTTACTCTCTATTGCCTCTCTAAAGCACTCATGTTCTCTCACATCTGTTAATATCACATACTCATCAGAAAAGTACCTTATAGACAATTGTCTCTACCTAATAGATCTTCTAAGTTGAGTTAGTGGTGGCTTAGGTGCATCACCAAGACTCCCATCACATGATATTTCATGTTCCTCTTCATCAACATCATTAATAAGAACATCTACTTCATCTTCAAATTGTTGCTCACTAACATAATCATGTTGTTCACCATTCTTAACATTAGTACCCAAATTATGAATAGGGAACTGAACTCAATCAACAATAATCATGCCACTATCTCCCTTGGGTGTAGATTTCTCCATCTTATTGATGAAGATTTTCGCAAACCTATCACTTGGCAAG